AACTAAGTACCGGAGGATACAGGCCTGCTTGAAATACTTCTGTTCAATCTCCAGCTGCCTTGCATTTTCCCCTTGCCGAGTCTAAGGTCAACTGTGTGTTATCAAAACTGTCCTACTTAATGTCAGTTGGTCAGTTGGGGAGCCGCAAGAGGAGGGATAGTATTTGATTCCATGTAGACTCCAGTATTCATATAACAGCTAGCCGACATGGTAGACTAAAGCACAATTGTCTGTAGGCAGAAGAATACCTCTTGGTACCGTCTAGTTATCTGACCTTTCGCTGGATGACCCTTTACGCGACACACTGTGCAAGCTTCGGTCGCATTTATTGCAAGGGCCACATCTTTATCTCTAGATTTTATTTGTGTTTTTTCCTCCTACCCCCCTCCCTCATCCTCCTACAATACGTCAACCCTTAGGAGCACAGCAAGGCCGTGAACGAAGCTCTGTACCGGCTCTTCAAGACTGGACTCATCTATCGGTCAAATAGTCTGGTCTTCTGGTGTTGTCATCTGCGATCGGCCATCTCAGACATCGAGGTGGGCTGCGTCCGTTTCCATCTCCACTTTACCCTTTTCCAGCTTTTTACCTTGGCATCATTTGCCTGATAGATCTAACCCACGCTTCTGTGGTATTACGCGTTTGACTGGTGCATGTTCAGACCCGAATCTCCACCGATGAGAGGGAAGGACTTGTCTAATCAAACGACCGTTTTAAAAATTTTTCGTCGCTGTCTGCATACTGGGCTGTGCTCATTCCTTGCTGCCTTTAATATTAAGCTCCATCGTATTCCATCATCCATCTAGGATTCATCCTCCGTGTGCGATAAGACCTAAATTACCGGCTTCACTATTTAGGGTAAAACTATTTGACTTATTCGTACGCCTGAATATGTTCGAGAGCATGTTCTGATTGTTGTCTTGCCCGAATCGAAAGAAAAAACGTTTCCACGCCGATTTCCGTTGTCCACGGGGACACTCAAACTTTGTCCAGAGTAATAGATTCTTCTTTTTAGTAGTTGGCGAGCATAGGCAATGGACACTGCTTCACCAGTCCATCTGGAGCATTCGCTTTTGATCGGGATTTTGTGATCTCTCTCTAATATCGGATAGCCAGATCATGAAACGTATATTGTAAAGTAGACGC